GAAACGAGGGTAAATTGCTATAATTTGAAAAAAACACAACAACACAAAAAACAAACCCAGCTGGGGTTGGAGACTAATATTGTTATATGAGGTTCTGCAATTTAGGTACTACATTTTGCTGCACTTCATTGGACAGGTGATTTTTAATTTGCACAATAAACTTATTGAGTCAATACTTATACATGTGCACACAGGTATATCGTAAAAAAAATTTTTTTTTGTAAAAAAATTTATTGACACGCGTCTCTGAGTAACACCAACTGAACTCCCGAGCCCACAACTTGGAGTCCCCAAAGATTATTCATTCCTTTATCCTCTTCTGCTCCCCTTTTCTCAGCCTGATCTGGGTAGACGCTAAGTACTAGTTTAGACCTAAGCGGTTGCTGGCGCAAGAAAAAGACCCGTTTCACTGAGCTACAAACAGCGGGCGAGGTGAGTGGAAGAGTGAAAACTCTACAGGTTTTTACTCAGGTTTCCCGACTCCCATCCCAAGAAGTATTTTGCAACTACATATTTTTTAAATCGAAGAGAACGCTGAAAATTGCTTCTTCAGTGCACTAACTTGGCAGAGAACAGCCAGCCTCCAAGCCTGTCTCTGTGGCGCAATCGGTTAGCGCGTTCGGCTGTTAACCGAAAGGTTGGTGGTTCGAGCCCACCCAGGGACGGGAGTAAACACTTTTGAACGTCTCGAAGCTGTAAACACCTCCTATTATTTATCACTGGTCAAAAGATCCGGAGCTTGTCGTTTCACTTCGCAGCCTCACAGCGTGCTAGGAATTTTGTTTAGGAGTTTTGAAGTATTTGTTCTGCGCAGTTAGTATTGTAATTAGTGGTGAAGTTTCAGCTACTGAATTTCGGTCAATGAAAATTGCATCATGAAACAGATTTTATGAACATTTACCAACTGAAGGAAGTAAGTACTAAAAATCCGAAGATGAATTTTTATATCTTCCTTATAAAAGGAAGATTGTCTTGCCTTTGTACTTCCCTGCTTACCAAACGGCACCACGTTCGGAACCTGGGACTACACCTGTCCTTACTCACGCCACGTCCCTACTAACAATTCTTAGAGATTCTGCCTCCCATATATCTTATGGATAAGCAACTTTCTCACCAGTCTCGCGGCCACTGTCTTCCTCATTACTTTTCCCAATCCTCATTACCTTTCCCTTTGGTTACTGTAATAATTACCTAACCAATCTAGCTGGTTTACTGTTTTCAGTTCTTGCTCGTCCATCCACCTTGTTGTTGTTATTAAGTGCCGTCGAGTCGGTTCCGACTCATAGCGACCCTGTACAGGGTTTCCGAGGCTGTAAATTCTACGGGAGCAGAAAGCCTCATTGTTCTCCCACGGAGCGGCTAGTAGTTTCGAAATACTGAACTTGTGGTTCACAGCCTGATTCGTAACCACTACGCTACCAGAGCCATCCACCTAGTGGCTGCCAGCCACACACCCCGC